AGAACCAACACCAGGGGCCACGGCCATAAACTAAAAAAACAGCGTTGGAACACATCCATGCGACAACCTTTCTTCTCGCTTCGAGTCACCGACATGTGGAACAGCCTCCCTGATAGCACCGTTGACGTTCCGAGTATGAACATCTTCAAAAACACTTGACGAAGCTATGCAGGAGCATATGTTCCGTCTTAAAATGCCCAACAAATTATGAACCAGGCAATAAGTCCAGCAGCTATCTCAATCAATAGTCAGTTTTGGAAAGATAGGGTTCCAAAGGCCAGCCCTTGTGAATCAAGTCACGAAAAGTTCAAGAATCGGCAACAGGCAATTGGCGGACTTGCGGACCGCGACCTCACGGACACGGATTTGCTATTTACAAAAAGCCGTAGTTGGTAGAACGCAGAAATTGTGACTGATTATTGACGGTGTCTGTGGTGTGAAAAGATCATCGTAAGTAACGCTCTTCAGCTCTTGGAACCTACATAAGCTTTAGATAATTATTGTATTCTATGTAGAAAGATAGGGCGGGGGGGGTGTCAATAAACTTAGGAAAAAACATGAACAGCTAGCCTTTCATCTGGGACGTCTGAACGGACGAACCCAAGGGGGCAAGGGCCAAGGCAAAGAATGAAACTCCTTTTTTGGAGTCTGTACCGATGACAGGGCAGCTACCAGCTGGCTGAGGAGCTTGGTGATGCTGCAAATATACTTAGGGACTCTGAAGCTCAAAACGTGAACCAACCTGATGGTTTCCCAAGCCTTGTCAGTGAGTTGCCACTGTCAGTTGTCAGGTGAGATGAGAGCTTCTAATAAGCTTGCTGTTGCTGGGGTGCTCAGCCAGTCAGCCTGCTGTTGACAAAACAAAACAGTAATTCAGCAAATGAGCAGTTAACTAACATAGAAAAACTGAAAATGCAATATGATGGGATTGGGCAAATTTTGAAGGGTTTTAATCTCATTCTGGTTCACTAACACAGGGAGTCCGGAGTTTGGGACTAGACTCACTAGGAGACTGAGTCAGTCAGTGAGTCTGAAAGTACCAGATGAACATCCTATTGGAATCCTTTAGTATGTTCATCTGAATGATCTGATAGGGTAAATGCACCATATTCCAACACAGCAACACTGTGGCCTGTGGGAAATTCCGACCATAGTGGCAAAGCAGAAAGTTTTTTAGACACTTCCTCAAGTTCAATATTGAGTTCTAGAAGTAGATAAGTAAAGTATCATGGATATTGGATACCAGCATTATCATGCATAAGAAATTGGTTTAAATATCAAGTAAATGAGGAAATTAAAAATGAACTGATTCTAAAAAATCTCTGGTTTGCCACTATGATTTCTGAAACTTCTCAACTTTTTCCTTTATATTAAGCTTTGTCTTAGTTCCACCGCTTCCACGCATGCGTAGATGGTTGAAATAGTGACGTCATACTATTGCGTGCAATATTTCCGCAAAACACTAGGTCTGGTGGGAAAATGTTAAGATCCACAGATCAAAAGTCCACGTCACCTAGTGAGACCATCAAAACACATGTCGTGACATGTGAAAGTTGATAGTTGACCTTGCTCTACCAAATAGTGATAAATTGTTTATGTAGAAAGAATATTATGGTTTGAGACTTCTAAATAAGTCTGTGAATATATTAGGAATCCTTCAAGTATACTTGTATTTGCTGATTTTAAGCGGTAAATAAATTAATAGATGATTGATTTAAGAGACGGTTGTAGAATCATAAAAACTAATTCTGACGCAGTGTTGGAATTAGGACACACAGCCATGACAGTCATGTGTCATATTCTGACACAGCTCACACAGGGTGTCGGAATTCTAACACCGGGTGTTGGAATTACAAATTATGATTTTGAAGCGCTGTCGGAATTAGTCTCACAATATGCCACATATAGTCACACACATGTCGGAATTCAGCGATATTGTAGATTTGAATTCTAAAGGCTTTTAAATATATATGGCAACAGTTTGTGATGTTTCATCATTGCTGGCACATAGAGTGGTGTTTTGAGAGTGTTGTAAACCAATCAGAACTCGAGTTGCGCATACGGTTATCTATTTATAGCCATTTATTTCTTGCTACATCCTTAAGGTGTAGGAATATGGTGTGTTCACCCTACTTTCTCAATAATTACAATTAAGGGGTTGGCACTTGGCAGGTATGATTTCCTGAGGTATTTGCATTTCAGCAGAGAGCAGGAGAAGTTGGCCTGTGGAATTCTGGATAGGTAATATATTCTCACATCAACATAAGAAAATGGATCGAAAAACCTACCTCAGGCTCCTAGCCTCCTACCATGTTACACCTTCCACGGCAGTGACAATTGATACACTGGGTTCAGAAACTGCTGCACTTCTGAAATCGCTCATAGTTTGAAATCCAAAATTGTGTCGGCAACGCCGCTCTTCATTACTTTCATAAGTTGTTTATCGTATCTGACAATTTTTTGCAATGAATATGTTCTAAAATGAAAAAAATTATATCATCTTTTGCAGATAATGTTTGCTATTTTACCAATAAAAATAAAGTTTTAAAAATAACACAAAATGATGGGATAAACTGCAAATCTTTCACAGCATATGGGCACATTGAGCTGCCTTGTAAACATTTGACAAGATGGTGTCACACACTTTGTTTTTGTTATGTCTGGTTTGATTTCACAATAAATAGATTTGATCCACATTCCACACTGAGATTTAAATGATGGAAAGTTGTTTCAAAATTTAAACATCTATTGATACACATCCAGATATTATTTTTTTCATGTTTTTGCCCTTGCCCTATTATATCAATATTCTCTTAATAACTTCACTTCAATCTTCAAATTCTGAATGATTTTGTCTCCCATTGCAAGTTTTAGAA